GGCATCCAAATGTGCTGCTGTTTAGCGATGCTTAGCCAACAGGCTACCGGCCCTTATCATCAGGGTCAGGATTAGCGATGCTTAGCCAACAGGCTACAAGCCCTTATCATCAGGGTCAGGATTAGCGATGCTTAGCCAACAGGCTACCGGCCCTTATCATCAGGGTCAGGATTAGCGATGCTCATCTCCTGGGCTGGGAAGGACCTCCCTCGCTTCCCTGCTTTCCTCTGGGGGCGGTGGAGATGGGGGGGCTGGCCAGGGCCGGCTTGGTCTCAGACGAGCTGTGTGATTCTGATAATCAGGAGCGCAAACAGAACAATGTAGAATGGCTGCTCATGAAGAAAATTCATAGTTTTTATAATGATACAGACATTAAGGCACAATGCCAGGCACAGCCTCTCTTATACACCTGCATTATTTATGCAATCAGACCTACATGAACTCGTCATTGTCCCTAATTAATGCTGTGTAATCTCCAAACATGAGTGTTTCTGCCTCATCCTAAAATAGCTATTATACCTCTTCTCTACGGCTTCCTGTACGTCGTAAATCATAAACGTTTCTCTCCTTTATTTATCTTAAACCAAAGGTCATATGGATCTCATAAGTGCGTTACGTTACTTGAAAGCCAGTTGACTGTGAGGTTCCTGTGCAAACTAAGGAAGCAGTTATTTAAGCTCGTGCACTTCCTCTGTGCACTAAACCTATGGTATATTTACATTTAGCCGTATAACAGATGTTTCTATGCGGAGGGACTCACAGGTCAGTGCATGCAATGCTAGCGAGCGTCTATAAGGCAGATTGGGCTGGTGGTGGCGGGTCATTGTGCTGAGGGTGGTGACCCCTTTGTGATGTTATCAAGCTTAATCAGAGCGTAATGACATCCGAATGCGGAGCCAGGACCCTCCGGTGCCCATGCTGCTGTCTGCGCTTTGCTTCCAAGCTGGCAAACCTGCATGTCACAGAAATGCAGCCACAGTGAAACCACACGCCTTGGCTCAGAAATTGCAACCTATTTTGTAAGGAGAGGTTTGCTTATGTAAGTTCAGTGCATTGATGGACTTCTCAGTCCTTTGGAAATAAAGGGACAGGGGGATGTGTAGGTCTGATCCATGCGGTTCAGGGCATGAAACCTTTGTCCGGACCATGAAAGGCTCAAAGGATCCACACTGCAGAGCTGATTTCCAGTTACTAGGAAACAGAAGCGTTCCGATCCCTTATATGCATGTGGAATTTGGAGAGAGCGGCTGCTCCTATGGTGAGCTGGAGATGAGGGGCACGCAAACCCGGAAAAGGGGGCCGTGAGGGTGATAAACCAAGGCCAAGCTTCCCATCTTTGGCCGGTCTCCATGGCAACACAAAACACCTCATCACGACCCACCGTGATGCTGACCCTGAAACCTCAGTCTGGATATCCAAGAAAAAAAAAAAAACACACACACACACACACACACACATTTAAAAAAAATCAAAACTCATATTTGAACCATTCTGTTTGAAGATCGGTCTTTATGGGGGGGGGGGGGGGGGGGGGCGGGGGTTATGTTCCTCTTTTTATTTAAGTTCCCTTAATTAAAGACCCTCCCCACTGAATTACTGATTATTATGTTGTTAAAGCAACTTTTAACTGCGATATCAAAACTGCCAGTGAAAAACTCCAGTGGCTGAACTGGAAAAGATGGATAAAAATGAGAGCTTATTATTCCCAGATAAAGTGCTTGAAAACAGCTCGATAAGGAGGCTGACAAAGAGGCCGTTTAGAAAGTGCAGCTTTAAATAAGCACCGGCAGAGCAGCTGCGGCTGTGGCTCACGGAGCAGGGTGAGCGCTTCCCGTTCACTGCTGGTGTGATCGCCTTCCCTAATGGGCCCCGTCTCACTCCGCGCGTCCTGCAGTCAGGAAGATGGTCAGTGTGGCGTACCTCCCCACACTATTATTCTGTTTGCGAACTTGTTCACATAGTCCGCACTGAGACCATCCCAGACCCCGATGCCACCGGGAGAGAGAAACAGCGGCTCAGATCACCAAGGTTACTGTCAATTAATCTTTAATGGTCATAGGACAGGGTCCATGTGCAAAGGCAGCATTAAGAACAATGCTAATGTAATACACAAGAGCCAACACCGAGAAGCTCATTTTCACAGAATAAAAATACCAAATTTCATGGCTAATTACAAAAGCTACACGTGATTGCCTGCGATTCGATTGCCTTTTGGTCATTCTTCTTACAAGAGGTTACTGGAGGAGAGTAAACAGCAAGCAAACAGGAAATACAGCATTTAAACAATGTTTTTCACAGTGAGTTTTACAGTGAGGACAGCGTGGGTCACATGGTTGATGATGACACAGATCCCTACAGACAGGAAACTGAAGGAGTAGAAAATGTTATTTTGTAAGAAGGACTTAATACCCAATACCATGTGTGTGTTTTAAGGCATTTCTGGTAAAGTTTGAATAATAAAAAAAATTTTAGAAAGCCAAAAATCGATCAGTGTTTATGCCGTTCCTGCTCGACCATGTTTTATGTCGGATGGATCATGGCTTACAGATGGCAGTTTCACGCGATTCCCGCGAAAGGTTTCAGCGTTATGGCTAACTTTTGTCATTGCATAGCACCAAGGCCTTATAGGAAAGCGAGGGGCTGCTGGGTGCCGTGTAATGGAATTATCCCTGTAGAGGGCTGCTGGGTTTAACATCTCATACACATGAGTCTCGCTCCAACACTGAAAATAATACTGGTGATTTGCATGCTGCTCAGCTTCCACCCTCCTGGTCTTGCATCCTGGTGTTTTTTTTTTTTTGGAAAGCAAAATGCGTTTCTGTGCGCAGGATATATGCGACTCCACCACTTTGGACACACAGGAAACCATCTGCGGATGATGCAAAGCAGCTTGCCGGTGCTGGGTGTGCTTCCCGTTTCAGTTGGTGGGGGACGCTGCTCCCTCGCACCTCGTGCCGGTTCACCTGCGCTTCCCTTTTGAGTTGGTGGGGGACGCTGCTCCCTCGCACCTCGTGCCGGTTCACCTGCGCTTCCCTTTTGAGTTGGTGGGGGACGCTGCTCCCTTGCACCTCGTGCCGGTTCACCTGCGCTTCCCATTTGCGTTGGTGGGGGACGCTGCTCCCTCGCACCTCCTGCCGGTTCACCTGCGCTTCCCTTTTGAGTTGGTGGGGGACGCTGCTCCCTCGCACCTCGTGCCAGTTCACCTGCGCTTCCCATTTGCGTTGGTGGGGGACGCTGCTCCCTCGCACCTCCTGCCGGTTCACCTGCGCTTCCCGTTTGTGTTGGTGGGGGACGCTGCTCCCTCGCACCTCCTGCCGGTTCACCTGCGGTTCCCGTTGGCAGGAATAGCGTTCTTTGCAGTGTTAAGCACGTGTGTTTTGCCCGCAGATTCCTCCTGGTCTGTGGGGTAGTGGCTGTAAAGAGCACCATTATTCTCTGCCAGTGGCTCCATCACATAAAGGGGGGTTTGCAGAGGGTGGGCGTGGGGACCACCGAACTTGCGGCGTAAATGGCCAGGACAGACGCGTCATCCAATAGGCCGCCTCTGTCTGCCCGGAGAAAATTCCGGAAATGAAAATACATTTCAGGGAAGATAATAATCTGCTCTCGTTAGTTTGAAATGCCTGTCGACCCTGTGAACCCTCAACCCCCCCATTTAATTGCAAACACATTGAGGAGGAAATGAAAAACAATGCTAAATGATGATAGCCATACAATTGATAGAGATAGATCACTAAGAGCAGGGGCCCCACACGTGTGGAGAAGGGATCTGATGCACAGGGTGTGTGGGGGGAGGTTGAATTTGGCGTGCTGGGGGGGTCATTAACTCATCAGCACCTCTGTTCTTAAACAGGACCAAATGTGTGACATCTTACATGACATAAAAGTTGCAGAATGAGTTGTACGTCACACTCAGAGCATGATGTTTGGCACGCGAGGTCTCCTCACACAATGGCAAAGGCACCACCTACACCCCAGTCTTAGCTAGGGCCACCTTTGAGTTCGTCCTCCGCTTTAAGGCCTTGCAGATGAAGTCCCCCGCTTCCATTACTTTGGCGAGGTCTACACCCTGTGTTATGAGAGACAAAAAGGTAAAATAAACACGTGGCTCTCAGAACTGCCCAGCAGGGGGAGCCAAAGGGGAGGCCAGAAAGTCCGCCTCATTTGCATAGTGCTCTCTGATTGGGCGCAGATGTTTTTCAACTGTCACCAGAAGATCATCATGTCAAGACACATTGGAAGGTAGACATGCACAGTACTAGCCTCCATCAGCGATATTTGGAGAACTTTAAGGAAAAAGGAAAGGCTGGCAGGAGGAAGTTCTTTGGGTGGGTGCTAAAATCATCTCAGCAGAGTTTCTGCTTCTGGAAACTTCCAAGAACAACACTCACAGTCTCAATGCCCAGGCCGTGAAGCATGTACAGGACGTCCTCTGTCGACACGTTCCCCGAGGCCCCCCTGGCGTACGGACAGCCCCCCAGTCCCGCCACTGAGGAATCCACCACGGAAATCCCCATCTGGTGGAGAGACGGGAACATGGGAGCCGTCGGGAAAGGGGCTGCCAGGGCTGATGCTGCCTGATGTCCCCCCCCCGGCGTCTCCAGAAAACTTCATGGACAGGCCGCGATTTTTAAAATGATTATTTCATAATCTCATAATACAGCTTTATGAACATCACTTTGTCCTTTAAAATTTCTTAGAATGAATTTGCTGTCCATTGTGCTCTCTGATTATAAAAGCCACACAATACAGCCGAAAGCCCCGATGGTTTGCTGCCCCCCTGGTTTGCTGCCCCGATGGTTTGCTGCCCCCTGGTTTGCTGCCCCCTGGTTTGCTGCCCC